TATAATTATATATATATAATCTTTGTGACTTGTATTCAGGTGCTTCATTTACATACATATGTGTAAATGTGCGGTGAGACAGAATGTGTGTCTGTAACTGGCTGCATGCTCTTTTTTTCTTGTAAAATATAGAAAATGTAAGTTCATTTAAAAATGTATATGCTTCAAAAACTTGTAGCTTTTCTTTGTTTTTTCACCTTCATTATTGTCACATGTTCAAGCAGATATGCAAGTCAAAGAATGAATGATATTAGCAATAAAAGCAAAGCAGGTTTTTTATATTCAGTCATCTCAGAGTAACAGATCAATATTTTACGGCAACTTGTGTATGATGAAAATGGAATTTCAAAGTTCACAAGTACTGATTTACAGTCAGATTTATTTAGCTAATCAGAACCATCAAAAAGCAGTCTTTAAAATGCTGTAATAAAACGTTTCCTCTGGAAGTATATAAATAGGAAACTCATATACATTTGGAGTGAACTGATTGCAATGACTACATCAGATAAATGCACCACTGAATTGCAGGTGTGTAATCTTCGGAGACAGAAGTATTTGTAAGCTGCATTTGATGTACAAACTTAGGGCAGGCATGCTTGGATTAAGGAAGGACTAGACAGTAGGAAATGTTATTGTGTTCTGTTTTTCCTATAACATCACGAGACTGACAGGAAAACTACCCATCCTTCAGTGATCCCTGAAACAATGAGTATTATGGGCCAGCGCACGGGTATCACGCAGACTCCAAGGAATGCAAATCCTTGATCTCAGGTGTTTTAATCAGACCTGTTTTTTGGGGGGGCTCTACATTGCAGGCAAAAGAACAGCAAAACATCAGCAAAAAAGAGACAGTGGCCCTGAGAGACTTCTGCTGTCTTAAGTGAGATCTTAAGAAAGAGGAAAAATACTTTGAAAGTGTGAGGATATTTGGAATGTAGATAAAGAAACTACTTTCTCAATGGAAACCACCAGCAACATATTGAGATCAAAAGACAACTATACAGTTATGTAGTTTTCTGCATATTATTAATTTTTTTCAATTTTTCATTTCAGACATTAATATCTGGAGCAGTTGTTGAACAACTTGACTTCCTAAGAATCACTGAAACAGAAGAGTAAGGCTATGTGTAAATAATAGTGATGAAGTATTTGGTCATTAAAATATTTTCTGAACTTTGAAGAAATGATGTACTTATTTTTCAGGGCTCCTGTATTTAAGAGTTTGGAGGAGTTGGACCTTCCAAAACATTCAAAAGTCAAGAGACAGTCTAGTACTCCAAATGCTTCTGAATTTGAGCAGCAACCAGATGTAAATATTAATGACTGGAAAAACAAGTCAACATACGAGATCCTGCAGAAACTTAATGTAAGAAAACTTGATAAAGATACACTGTGACTTCATTCTCGTGAAATGAGAAATTATGTTCTGGTATTTTTCTTAACAGCAGCCTACTGGGATCAACATAATTAATGTCATGTTTTGATGTTAATAATATAGCTAGTAACATAAAATGTCTGGTGTTCCTCTTTGTACTCAGGGAATCTTCCTCATGACAGTCGTTTATCTTATCACAGAACTTTCTGGCCCTTCATTCTGTAACTATTGGCTTCCATTTCTCCAAGCTACCCAAATCTTCTGGTAATAAATGACCATCTAGAAGGGGATCCATTTGTCATGTGAATATCAATAGATGTCTTATTGATAGACTAAAATTCAAAAGGGTCAACAGTTGGTATTCACTCTGATAGACCAGGAGCTGCTTAACGATCCCAAGGCAAAGTTCCAGTCTGGCATTTTTCCTGTATCTAGAAGAAAACTGCCAGTGACTGCTTCTAGATCCAGTGTTCAACAGGAACACACATAGGGTAGGAAATTGTTGTGAATTCCCCTTAAAAACAAAATTTGTAGACTTTTTTTTTTTACATTAAAAAAAGGCCCTTTGTTTTCACTTGAAATTTTTAATAGCTCTTCTGGTTTTGCCTCACTGAAAATCTGAAGGCTATTTGTGGTTGTTGTTGCTTTTTGCGCTTTTATTTTTTTTTTTTTTAGGACTGCAATTGCCTAGCAAGTCAAGCATTACTCTTGAGTATATTGCTTAAAAGGGAAGGACCGAATTTTATCACCAAGGAAGGTAAGAGCTTCTTTCATTTGAGGATTTGGGGAAGCAGCTGTTTAGTTGTAATGAACATGAATAATGGCCATGCATGCAATCAGTTGTGTAGCTATGGTCTTCACCATTTAAAGCAATTTCTGCATTAAATGGGACATGCAAATTCTTAGTGTGGTGGGGAATGCGCTGCTAAATATATGAACTCTTTTAGGTTTTTTGTAGGCTGGTGCTGCATCTGGTTATAAATTTGAACACACAGATAGAAAAAAATAGGGGAATTGACTTTGTATAAATCGCTGAAACTAAAGACAGTTTGTGTGTCTGTAACAGTCTGAAATGTGTGAAGCTTTGTACTGAATTTTTATTTTACTTCTGCGTAATCAGACTTTGATTCACTACATCTGTGAAGCTTACACTGATTTTGTATTATGGCTTTGTATTAGAGCACAGGATTTAAATTCATGTAAAATAATTCAGAAGAGGCTATTGAGGCTTGTGGCTTTTGTGCTGCAAGGTCTGGTGGTGTTTCGTTTTTTTTTTTCCCCAAGGACTGCTTATTAGCTGACTTTGTGTATACGAATACTCCTCAGGAAGAGAGGAATGTTAGGATCAAATATTCTCTTAGTTATTCATCAAGCAGTGTAACTTACCACCTCATGTTATAGAGCCCTGCTTCACAATTTTGATTTAAGACCGCTGGTTCTGTGATGAAGAGTTGTGATTTTGGCATATATTAAAAATGTCATGGAAAACAGTGTAAAGTGGAATAAAATGAATTGGCTGATACACAGAGCATTGTTGAAATACAATGTGAATCCACTGTTGTCGGGCTTTGAAAGTCTCAGTAGCTTTCTTTAGTCCTTTTTAGGTTGTGTCCTTTGCTCTGGAAACAACTTGAGGCAGACTTCCTAAGCTCTGTAAGCAACCATCATAAATGCTTTTGACCATTAGATCATGAACTTAAAAACTCTCTTGAAACCATTTAGGTCAGAAAAAATACTGTTGTACCTCTGACTGTTCAGAGCTAACTTGTATAGACCTTTTTGTGCCATCCCATATGAAAGAGTAAATGATGATAACCTTTTTAATATGCACCTCACATTAAACTGTCTGAGTCACTGACTAAAAGCTCCTGTCCTCCTACGACTGGAGATTACTGAGACTGATATTAAATAATCACACAATCAATAAAACATAAATCTTAAAATAAAAGCTGAAGAACCCTGGGTGTTCCAGCTGACAGGCACAGGCTATGATTTTGTGACTCAACTTCTGCTATTGTTGTTATAGATTAAATTATTTTTCACCAATAAGCGCCTGGCATGAAAACACTGACAGTCCATATGAGAACCTAAAATCTAGAAGCTAAATGAAGTCTTAAATAATGGAATGTTTGTCACACTTTTACCTTTAACATAATGGTCCCCACTTGACACCTCCACAGGGTGATGCACTGTGATCAGCTATGGGCTGACAAAGAATGGTATTGGTTGTTCTGGTGAATGTCATTAATGTACTTCACGCCCTCTCTGCATCTTGGACTGCCTGCTTTGACTTCAGAAGCAGTGCTCTTCCCATTTTCTGCCCTCTCTTTTTTAGGTCATGTCTATACAGCACGGGGCTGCTTTAATACATAACACTTCACAAAATGTTCTCTTTGGTTTTGGCACACAGAAAATCAGCTTGGAGGAGGAAGGTAGTAATGAGTAATATAATGTCTTGTATATCTGTCCAATATCCCGTTGCATTTTGCACCAGTGATAATTGCCTTCACAAGAGTGGTGCCCAAAGCTAGCTCCCAGTCACTCAGGTGTCTTTGTGGGCACCTTAGTGCGGTTATTCAGGGCAGAGCCACAAAGGAGTGAAAGATTCTCTCGCTCTCCCAACTTCCTGTAAAATGAAAGTCTCACATCCCACTGATTAACCAGGTGATCTGTTGTTCACGTAAAAAGTTGAAAACAACTTGTCTTGGATATCAGCTCTTAAAAACTTTGTCCAAACATAACCCCACTCCGGCGAACTGCACTGCCAAGCACAAGACTTCACTGTTGCTTCCTGTAGGTTTTAGCTCAACAAAGAGGCAAGGCAATGGAGAGGGTATTCACTCTCGTATCCATCCTGTATCCGAAACATAACCTGCATTTTGAGGATGTACCTTTATAGGCCAAATCTGTAGACAGATTAATTTTCCCCAATATATTGAAATAATAGATGATATCATATGTTTCTTTATAGCATGAGCAGCAAAATTAGCTGAAATCTGGTTTGGCTTTTTGCATAAAAAAACAACTAGATGACAGGGGTCTTGACTGCATCTAAATTTTAGATGTTAAGCACAGTAGGTCAGTGCTAAAGCTGATTCAGGATTCATTGATCTCATCTAATTTACCTTATTACTATTAAATGAAAACCTGTGCATCCTTTTTGCTTGTGTTTTTTGTTTGTTTGTTTTTTAAAAATGCATTTAGGTACTGTTGCTGAGCATATTGAAAGAATCTATAGACGAGCTGGCAGCAAAAAGCTCTGGTTTGTATACATATATCATGTTCTCTCTTTTTTTTTTTTTTACACCGATTTTTTTCTCCTAATATGTTTATACAGATCAATGCCAGATCTTTACACACTTAAAGGGGGGGGGGAGAGGAAGGGTTTCTGACAAGATTGTATTGGTTCATTGCAGCTGTAGATCTGGTCTATAATGCTTTAAAAAAATTAAGTAGTATTTTCTTACTGTTTCTTTTAAAACATAAGAGAGTAATAAGCTGGTTTTGCCATGAGCACTATTGTCGATGTACAGTTCTCGTTAAATAAGGAGAAAAGAATACTAATATTCTTATTTCTTACAGGGCATGATAAAATATTATTAATAGCTTTTTGTAGCAAGGCTGGTGTTCAAATATAAATCAGTTAAGTTGATACACTCATGCAGTTTGTTTATCGCCCCACAATAACTTGCTTTGAGCCTGATTTTATCACAATAACTCTAAAAGGTTTCAGAAGTAGGTTGGTATTTACGTGTATATTAATTTCTCTGCCCAGAAGGTCAGTAGAAATTTCGTTTCTTTCTATGAAAGAAATGAGTTGAGCCTGTCCTGAACTGTGTTCTTTCACCTGTAGCTATTCCTAACAGACAAGTCTGTAAATATAAAAACAATTTTTTTCATTTTAGTCTGTTCATACAATTAAATGGGCCTTTGCCAATAATAAGGTAGAACCAAAATACCTTGGTGGTATTTTTTGTAAAGAATAAAAATCAAAAGTATTTTTTAGAAACAAAATATGTAAACTGTTTTTCATTTCTCTTCCATGATTGCCATGTGACATACATATAGGCTGGTGTTGCGCTACAGTGCTGCATTTGCACAGAAATTTTCTTCTTCTATAGCCCCACATATTACTACCTTTCTGGTACATGGGAAACAGGTAAAGTGCCCAGAAGACTGAAATGGAGCTCTGTGAGATTTTTTTTTTTTTTTGCTTATTTGCATTTGATAGTATCAGCTAATGCATTTTTGAAATGCTTTGCTTTTGATCTTAAGAAGCGTGTAGCAGTTTTCACAGGAATCAACATCAACTATTTGATTTATTTTTTTTTTTACTAACACTATGGGCTATTACAACTCGTTCATTATCTCTGTGGATAAATGATTTTTAGTAGCCTCAAAGCCTGTGCTAGAAGAGCTCAAATACAGGTCTATTAGGTTTGTATTTTGTCAGGAAATCATTGTTAAAAGTATTTATATCTTTAACCATCAACTGGATTTATGAAAAAAGTTTTTCTCAGAAGTTACAGCTAGTTTTTAACCTAGCAGTTTATACAAGTCTTCTTTTCATGCTACACATGAAATATTACCTCAGCATGGAAAACAAAACATAGCCTTGGTGTTGTACTTTCTCTTGCAAAATCTTTCTAGCTCTTCCTTAAATGGACTAAAACTTACCAAGGTTATCTTGCAAAATTATGAAAATGTCACAAAAGAGAAGCGTGCATCTCTTACCTCTCTGTTTTCAAAATGATACTGAGAAAAGAACGACAAGCTTTTCATGGACCTTCTAGTTTAATGAGTTCTAACTAAATTTATTTTTGATCCATTAACCTAGTTCTAGACTAAAAATGAAAGTCCATAGAAGATTATGTAAGATCTGCTCCAAATTCAGCCTTATAAATCATGTCTTTACTTACTGAGTTGATTTGAGATCTCTGCTGTGGCAGACTTGAAACACATAGATGAATTCATTAAACTAGCTTGTGATATGCAGTGGGATTGCTCTGTTTTCTGCCCTCAGGTCTGTTGTGCGCTTCGCAGCAAGTCTTTTAGGTAAACTAGTGGACAGCCTTGCACCATCTATTACTAATGTTTTAGTTCAGGGCAAGCAGGTAAGTCTTTACTCCTCAGAAATGTATTAAGGAATGATAATGGAGAATCTAAATAAATGGTCTTGTTAATTTTGAAGGCCTCTGATGCTTCTTTTAAAGGTACCCATTGGCTTAAAAAAATCCTTACCAATGAAAAAAAATCTAGAGAAAATAAATATGCATTTAATACTTGCACATACTGTGGGCTAATAAATTTATTTTAATTAATGGCAGAACAATACTGAAAAGACAGTTCAGTGTCTAGATAAGAAGGGAAGAGTCACAATTTACATAACTCCTTAAATTTTATATATATGCCATCTTATTTCACAAAAGCAGATGGAGTCAAGTAATAAAGCTTCTTTTTTAAGACTGACTTGGTGAAGATGTAGCCACTCTCTGTGAGTATGAGACAACAGATGGGTGGCAACAGACCAAAAAGTCTTGGATTTTAGTTTTCTGTTCCAAACAAAGTTGAATCATCTGTGTTTCTTCCTTCCCTAAGGAGGAATTTTTTTTTTCTCCCAGCACAATAATGAAGTTAATGAAGAGCTGTTTCCAAATAGTAGTAATTGAATATTATGTATTTTTGTATTAAAATGTGTATATGTGTACACTTACCTTTGTGCAATGCTATTATGACAGATGTGTCTTTGCCTTGCTCCAGACTCAGGTCTGGGTATGTGCTTCTGGTGCCACATAGCTCTAGAGGAAGCTGCACCTGCATGCAGCATGATTTGTAGCTGTTTATTTTCAACCTTCTAACCTAACCAGCCTTCACTGACCCCTTTATAATAATGATCTTTTCAGGAGAAAAATTAGTGTTGCTGTGTTTTACTGACAATAGCTTTAAAGCAAATCAGAATTTTAACAAAAATCCTTTTTTGTGATTAAACAATCCAGTAATGGCAAATATATTTTCTTAAAATGAAGGCTATAACTTTTAGGATGCTATTAGAAATACGGAAACAAAACTATGAATTTAATTCTGAATTTTAAGTGAGCTCCACAGCTGAAATGTCAGAAACAAAAGACTATCTAAACCTACAGGCATGATTATACAGCCAGTTTTGAAACCAAAGCAGTGGTCTTGTATTTTTATTTTCAGTTAGAAACATATATTCCATATTTACTGTGGTCTTTAGTGAATTTTGTTATTTTAATAGCAGCCAACTAACAGTATTAACAAACATCAGTCATTGACATAAATCTTATATTGTGAAATTATGACAAGAAAAGCTGAGTTCATGAAGTTTCATTTCTGAATTGCTTCTTTGGTGCTTTTATTCCTGTCCGTATCTTCTGAATTGTTTTCAATATACCGTAGGTGACACTTGGAGCTTTTGGCCAAGAGGAAGCAGTTATTTCTAATCCCTTATCCCCAGCAGTAATTAAGAACATCATCTATGAAAAATGTCATTTACAAGATGAAAGAGACGCCGTAAAACATACATATTGGCTGGATCATCTCCAATTCACCTGAACTTTTCAGTGGCATGCTGAAGATACGGATTGGGTCAGTAAAGTATCTGTTGTTCATACTCCTAGTATTGCAGGGGAACATACATACCGCAACAGAGAGTGTTGCTGCATTGCAAAAATGGTTTATGTAGGATGATGCAGCAAAACTGGTATACTTCAATTTTGTACTTCCAGAAATCCTGCTTTAAATTAGCGTGACAAAAATGGGCACACAACTGATCTAGATTTGTCAGTCAACAGCTAAAGTGGAGGAGCATCAGTCCTTGTAATGGCCCATTTGAGGCTTTCCTACAGCTAACACACTGAACTATAGAATTTTGCAAAGCTTGATCCCTATCATGTTAGGGCTTTAAAACAAAAAAACAGTGTGGTGGGTTAGATACATTCTGCACAGCAAATGGGCAGTGGCAAGTGTGCTGCCTCTAGGTCACCCTGTCCTCTCAGCAGCCAACAGGCACGATGTTCTGCCTGGCTCACCTAGCAGCCTGGGTGTAGCTCTGGTGTAGACAGACACAGTGCGTCTCCACTAGCAGTGTAGTGGGTTGAAGGGGTTCTGTTTTAGGTTGCAACTGGACTCATATCTATACCTGAAATAATAAAAGGATGCACTGGAGTGCATTAGTGGTGTTCCTGAGACAGTGTTCTACCTGGCAGCAGACATACAGCACTCTGGGTGCCATCCGGAGTTTCCCAGTTTCAAGAGTGGATACAAAGTCCGCTCTGAATTTGCTCTCTGTATGTGGGCAGCAAGGCAACCTCTACAGAAGCCTTTTTATCACTTACTAGGTACAGGTGTGCTGCGCAGGATTAAGGCTAGTAACTAGCACGAATTTCATTACTGGTAAACATGTGATGGGGACACAGAGTCCTAGAAGTATAATGGATGCCACCAAACCAAATGCTGGTTCTTCCTTTACAGTGCTCCACAGGTTACGTAGATGCACACAGTGTGTGCTGCTGCCTGGCCATCCATGAGGCAGGTTAGAGGGATGTGGCCGGAGGCTGGGGATGTACTGTTCTGGCAGGGAGGGAAGAATCAAGCAGCAGAGAGGACCATAAGAGCTTTTACTTTTAGACTTTCAGCACTTGAGGAGGAAGGAGGCAAAGTGCAGTCTAGGATTAAGGCTCCTGGATGAGGCCTTTAAAAGCTCTTTGCTCACTTGAGCAGCCACCTATGGCATGTAGGTTTGGGGCAAATGGGTAGACTGCATAAATGCAATAATCCAGGAAGGATGTAGCATCAATTTGATTCCGTTCTGAAACCACAGAATTCTCCTCCAAGTCAGCATATGCTCAAGTCAGTTGTATTCTCTTGTTTCTGGTTAAGTGCAGAGCTCGTAATATAGCCTTGTCTAAATCAGTCTTGAAAGTCTGGCAACCATGAGCAACAAATTCCTTGGAAACAGTTTCAAGGTACTTAAACTATTTCTTTCTGGAGTAGGCACAATAATCTGCCTAAGAAGATAGCTTGTTCTTTTATAGTGTTGTCTGTAATAGTGACTTCAGATAGCAAAAGCCTTCTGCAGTTCAAATGTATTTACCATCACAGTTTTTCCTGAACTATTTTGAGGCACCAAGGTATACTTCTGTATACCTATATACTTCAGTGATCTGAATATCTGATATCTGGCATAACAAAGATGTTGTTCAAGAGCAGTTCTCTACACAAAAATACTTAACTGCCGTGGTAAAGAAAAACCTCATTTGTCCTATAAGGTGATGTTCCTAAAAATGTCTTTTTGTTCTTCAAAAGAACCTCACAACAACCCCCCCAACTGAACAGCATCCCTACTACAGACACACACAACGCTTCTTTACTGTTCATCAGCTATGTAGTTGTCCAATTCTGTACTAAATAGCTATACATAGACTAGGAACCACAACCCTGAATCAAGTTTAAAACATCATTTACCTACTGGTGTGTTCTATCAGTTCTTTGATAAGGTGACCTACAAATAGCCTGGTTAGGTTATCCATGGTATCTGCATTTACTTTGCTATCTACAGAAATGAATTATTTTTTCACATTTAGGAAGAGACAGATGCATTTGAATAAGCACTTCTTTGAAGAGGCCAGGTGCTACTGACTGAGATTTACAGAATTAGTGAGCATGCTTTAAAATTAGAACTTAAGTGTTCCATCTTCCATATCTCTTTCATAGAGAAAATCTAGCATTTCAGCACTGGAGGTGGATACCAGCAGTCTTTTTTTCTAGCACACAAGATTCATTCTTCCACTTAATGATGACTGGAATGTACTGCTAAACCCAAAAACTTCTCAAATCACCTGTATTACATGTAACTGCAAGTACATCTATCCTTTTGCACTTAAGTACCTTTTCTGTACCCTCTACGGATTCATGTTACTACTCCATCCTCCCCTTCCTCATTTTCTGTAGTTAATCCTTTTCACGATCTTTTTTTCTTTCTTCCAAGGTTAATGCTCGAGGTTCAATTTTCTTTATTTCAGTGTTATCACCCACTCCAGTGAGCAAAATTAACCTTCTCACAGAAACACCATTCCAGTTTGATAATGATTTGATTTAGTGTCTTGTTATTGATTTGTTTTCAGAGTTTCATGTTGAAATAGATGAAGTTCCTGACAGCCCTATTACTGTAAACACCTCCAGCCCACTGACTTCTACCCACCTCTTACCAGTGAAGGGTTCAGTAGGAGGTCCACTCTTCACTTTGCTGTGTTTTGTAGGCCACTGCAAAGAGAAAATACCAGTGAATGACTTGCACACAGATACGTTTGAGTCATCAGTAAAAAAAGAACCAATTCCTAAGTCAGTTGTGTTTGTTAATCTTGGTAACAAGAGAAGGACTCTATGTACCTACTAAAATAAATAAAAATAGTGTGTTCTGGATAATGTAATATGTCCATGTAGCCTAATATTCTCTTGTATCTTGCACCTTCTATGAATGGTCCTAGAAACCTCAAATTCAAAGCAACTTTGAATCAGAAGGCTTGACATCTCAGAATTCTGTGTAGTTACTAGGAATCCTTCAGAAAAGATAGTGACTTGACTTATACAAATGAAAACATTCTGTACCTTGTAGGCTAAATAATTAAATGCCTGCGGAATGTGGCTATACTAATGACAAGGTAACTGTCTTAAGACTACTCTGCATTTTCTGAGAAACCGAGTAAGGTGCTCTGCTGGAATACAGACTCCATCAGGTGTTATATGATGGACTGTTTGAATTAAATCTAGTTAAGTTTCTTTTCCCTTTTGATAGTAGTACCTACTTGAACTGAAGCAATGTAGATGGTAAGAGACTCAGTTATCTTGCTTCAGATGTATCTATACGTTATTTTATCTTTGATATTCTATTAGAGGATGTAGCACTGTTTTTATATAATGTGCGGAATAAAATTCAGCACTTTCCTTCAATAATTTGCCAAGTTCTGCCTCTCTGATACCTAAGGCTGAAAAATTTTCACTGTTGCCATATTTTTATTTAATCAAACCTTTTCAAAGGGAGTAGCAAAAGAAAGAGAAGTGTGAGACTGCAAAAAGGAATTTCAAAGGCAAAAACTATAACTAAGCCCTGAAGTCTTTTTAAATGTAAAATCATTTCATTTTTATGTTTTTTTTTTAAAAAACTCATCAGCAAAATGCATATACTGTCAGAGCATAATTTTGAGTAGGAATTTTAACATCAAAAGGCAGGTAAATGTTTGTCCTACTGAATACGGGATGTAGGGGAATGAGTGGTCGAATGTATCTTCCCTATGAAAAGCATGCTTCACACCCCATTTCTTAGATCTGTGCATTATCCCTTTCAGCTTGTATCATATTGCAAACACACAATCTGAGTAAATTCCACAATACAGAAAGAGTAGTAGAGTATGTGTTTGATATTTTATGCGTGTCTTGACATCCAAATAGAAAGATCATGTGGAATTCTTAAGAGCTATTTTATTAGACTAATTTTTTACCTTTGGAAACTTCATATTTAATTAATAAATGTATTCCTCCCTTTACTTCAGATGGATTATCCATGCTATGAAGCATGAATTGAAGATCCGTGCTGGGGATATGCCAGCCAAGGACTTATACCAGATGTCCCCTAGTGAAGTGAAGCAGCTTCTGCTGGATATTCTTCAGCCACAGCAGCAGGGGAGGTAATGAGACATGTGGGTTTGTGGCACCTGTGTTCATTCATAATAGGCTGTTCAAGTAATTTTCATTTCTGAAATACTTTGTGTATATCTGAAATCACCAGGCATGTGCAATCAGTAATATACTTATTTAAGGAAAGGTAGCAAAAATGCACTTTTTCATTCTCTCACCTGTGTCTAGGTTCTACAATTGTTTCTTTTATATTGCAGCTTCCCTTTTCAGCTTTATCTTTGTGGAAGTCTTACTTGACAGTGGTAATCTCTATACTTCGGCAGTAACGTGAAGCGTTACATTCTTTGATATGGGGAAAGGAGCCAAAAATTATTCAATACTGTCTACTTAAGTAACTTGTAAGAACAGTTTGTCTGCTGTTCAGTGCCCTCTTTCTTCTAGCTTATTATATGAATTAAGAACAGATGTTGTCTAGAATTCTCAAGAGATAGCGGTGCTGCCTGAGACTTGTAATCTTCTCTCCCAGCTGTCAAAGAGAGCTTTGATTGTGATACAAAGTATGCAAGACAAAAGTTAAAATTACAATATTTCCACTTGACTGTATTGATAAGAGTAAAGTCAAAAGTCCTCCGGCAGGTTTTACTTCTAGTTAAGTTAGATTGAACTTAAGGAGATACTAGATCAGGCACATAACACTGCTGATAATTTCCATTATATTTGACTGAACGGATCATGGCCAACAAGGAGGAAATATGCCACATGTCATCCTACTAATATTCCTGCTTAATTCAAAACATTCTTTTTTTCTCCCCAATCTATAATGCCTGAGAAACAAGCTCCTTAAATTGCTGTCTGCTCTCTCGTATCTAATTTGTGTGGTGTAGAATCTCTCAGCCAGCTGACTATGTACTCCATCTCCCACATGCTTTTCAGTGTCTTGGTTGTGGTTATGAATGCTTGCTGTTTAGTTGCTCCCTCTACTCATGTTGATGTTGACATTATTCCTCTAAAACATTACCAGAACAACCCTCAGTTTCTCTTTGCAGCATTTTCCATTAAATATTTTGCTATTTAGGAAACAATTCGGTCAATCACAGAAAGCAAGTCAAGCACCATCCTTCATTAGAGATCTTACCTGAGTTGTTACAATGCCTTCTGCTTTTTATTCCTTTAACATAGAATAGCTGGGTCAGCAAAGAGCACTCTGGTTGATTTTTCTGATGAAGATTCTTTTTTGGGGGTTGTGTGAGTACAGAAGCTAACCATTATCATATCCTTCAAAACTTCTTATCTTTAACTTCTTCCTGTACAGTATGACTAGCTTGTTTTTCCTTACCCATTAGTGACTTGTTTTTAAAAAGTCTCTTTGTGCCAGGAAATACAGAACACTGTCTCCTTTAATTTTTTCTCTGACAGTTTTTCCTACTGTTGTGATTTTTTTAGAAAAAAATCTCTGCTACAGTGATACCATATATCACTGCCAATTAATTTGTCATCCATGAAGGGCTAGTGGTAGACTTACCTCCCTAACAGTCTCTCCACAACTAATCTCTCTCCAGGTTTTCATAGGGGGTAAAATTTTTGCAATTTTTCGACATCTTACACTGGACTCCAGGATACCATATAGCAAAATCTATCTCTCTCGCCAACAGGGTGCAGACTTCCACAGATACTCTTTTTGACCTGCTTATGTAGGCCACAAGATTGCCAGTAGCCTTTTTAAAATGGAGCATTGTTCTTTGAATGGTCCAAACAGCTATAAAACTAATTTTGCTCTTACAGTTTACAGGGCTCTCTTCCTTACCATAGTAATTTAGATAGGTTGGAGTATTTTTGACCTCTTCAAATGCTGCTTTCTTTGTATTAAGAGAGCAACCTTTTAATTCTATCACAACTTGTCTTTTTGTTTTTATGAATGTTTTCTTGTCCTAGTCCAAGGACAGAGCTGCAGAGAGAATGAGATGGAAATGTCATAGCAGGCACGTACCTCAGTAACGTAGAGCTCAAACCTATTCAAAAGATGCACCTCTCAGTGGTATTTTTTTTTTCTTAAATCTTTCTTTAAAAAAAAAGAAAACCAAACAACACACTGCTTGGTCTTCTAGTGTAGTTGGGAGCTACACTAAGAAACTTAGGAAGAGCATGAGAACACACATGGAGCTGTCTGAATTAGAGTTCTCTTTTCTGGTCAGGTTTCAGAAGGAATTCTGACCATTTCTCCAGTGTTTATGATTAAGGTTTTTCATTGTAAGATCTTTTTGTTATTTCATCAGGCACACTGGTGTCTGCATAAACAAGTAATTTTACTGACAAGTAATTTTATTCTGAACGTATCAAGTTAATCTAGCAATACAAACAGGAAAAACTAAAAACCGAAAACATTACCGCTGAGTTTGATTTGAGCTAGGTTACAGAAGCTCTGCAAAATAACAAAGCTGACCAGAGCATTTCCCTTTTTTTTTTGTTTGTTTGTTTTTGTTTTTTTTGTTTTTGGGTTTTTTGGGGGGGTGGTTTTGTCCATTTTGAACAGCCTACCAGAACCAGGTCTTTGAAATACAGAGAGACATGTTGTCAAGCAGTAATTTAAATGTCATTTTCCTAAAAAAGACCCAAACAAATACACAATGGTAAATAAAGTGTAATAATAGTGTGTTGATTCCTGTGCTGCAAATATCCAAAATTTTAGGGGGAAAACCTTTCCCTCTTTCCTGAATGAGGTGCTTCCTGAAGTACTTGTTCCCTTTTAATAAGGTTATAATAGAGCTGTTTATGACCTGAGAAGACTTGGAACTTGTTTCATTAAAAAAAAAAAAAACACAAACTTTTGCAGGAATACTAAACTAAGACACAAAAATATTAGTTGCTTTTCATCAGAGCTTTGCTTCCTAGGGGAGCTCTCGCGAATATTTTACCATATAAAAATAGATTTTCTACTTAAAATTTAAAACCCAACTAAGAACAGGAACTTTTAGGATGACTGTTCTCTCAAATATGTTCAGTACAGTTACACAGGACTTAATTCTGTACTGTGAATCCACCCATTAAAATCATACCCATGGCTGCCGCTTCTTAAAGTTCCATTGCTGGTGTCTCAGACATTTTGGCTAAAGCCCCATTGCTGTAGTAATACTGAGAAGGACAAATACAAAAATTAAATTCCAGACTTCACAGTTGTAAGTTTAAAAAAAAAAACCAAAAACAAAAACGGTGGGGACAGGATGCTTCTGAAGGAAAATAAAACTTGTAATTTATGGAGAATGCAACTCAAGTTTGTCTAAAGCTTTGATTTTAAAAAAACATTGTCAAATTTTCTAAATTTAAAAGCCACTTGTTTTTCTACACACCACCATAAAAAAAAACCAATCCTGCTGA